TTCACTTAATTCAGTTGATAATTTATTCCCAACGGTCCCGCACACAGATAATGTGATGTGATAAAATCGATACAGGGAGAATACCAACTAGCTGCGAGCCTGCCAACTACCTTATAAGACGTTTAACAAAAACAAATAAATGTAACCAACACTTATTCTTCGGTTTGTATATATACGTGTACTATATCTCTGTGTTTCTGAATTTTCGGACTGTATGAATTAGTTGTAAGTTGTAGCTCTCAACTATTTACAAAAATTCGTATTTATTGCTTTATGTCAGTCTGCATGTGGGAAACGTTGTTCCTTGCACTTAATTTATTTCTCAATGCCGTCAGTAAACTTCGATATCTCCTAAAAACTTGACAGGTTGTTTTTTCATATACCTTGCATTGGTCGTTAATTTTCCTCTAGGTTTAGAAACAGCTTTTGCTAATACCAAAAATATGGCATAAAATTCCCTCCGCCAGAATGCTAAATAAGAACACAATAGACCCAACTCCTGCGTTTAACCAGCAACGTACATACATGATACATCTATAGCTTTCGACCTCTAAGGGAACTACTCAAATATGTGTAATCAATTACTTTTTTTTATTCCGGAAACAGTGAGGAATTATACTAACAAAAATGAAGAATTAACAAAATACAAAAATATGTAGGATATAATATTGTGGTTATGGTGGTAACATCTGTCGCAAGAAATATTGGATCAGCAGTCAGGGCCCGCTGAGTTAGGAGGCTGTAAGCCTCGCTGTAACTAATAAAATACAAAATATCAAACAAAATAGGATTTTTAACATAAAAACCCCTCAACTAAGTTTGTTTTGGGTAAAAACCCCTAAACTAAGTATTTAATGAAAAAAACCCCAAACTAACTTTATTTAGTGAATTAAACCCTCGCCGGTCATAATTACCAGTACTACCGGTAAATCTTTAGTTTAGGGGTTTTATCATTAAACATAAAAATTCAAAAAAAAAGAAAAAAATCAAAATATAATAACTTTATCTAAAAATTCATAACTTTAATTTTCAAAACTAGCATTTTAAATTTTTCTGTATATATATGAATGATTGCTTATCGTTGTAAAATAAATTTTTAACTCTAAAATACCTTAACTAAGTTTGTTTTGGGTAAAAATCCCAAACTAACAAGTAAACCCCTATTAAACATAGTTGAAGGGTTTTTATCATTTAAAATCTAAAAAAAAAATTATAACATTATCTAAAAATTAGTTACTTAAATTTTTAAAATTAGCCTTTTGCAAACTTTCTGTAAATACAATATATGAGTTTGATTTGTTTTTGCATCAATATTATATATATAGATTAAAATTTTAAAACACCAAAATATAATAAAAAGCATCTAAAGATTTATTATCACATTTTTATTAAATAAGATATAATATTTATTCTATTTTCTTGTTTTTATATTTATAAATTTTGATAATTTTTATTACAGGTAAATCTTAGATAATTTTTCTTATATTTTCTTGGTTTTTACATTTTAAATTTATACATATATAATTTTGATTTTAAAAGGATAACAAATCAGACTCATATAGTTACACATTTTTTTTAAAAAATGCTAGTTTTTAAAATTAAAATTACAAATTTTTAGATAATGTTATTATATTTTGAATTTTATTGATTTTTATTTTTAATGATTAAACCCCTAAACTGAAGATTTACCGGTAGTACTGGTAATTATGACCGGCGAGGATTTAATTCACTAAATAAAGTTATTTTGGGGGTTTTTTCATTAAATAATTAGTTTAGGGGTTTTTACCCAAAACAAACTTAGTTGAGGGGTTTTTATGTTAAAAATCCAACAAAATACGGACATGAAGAAGAAATTTAATCCATTCTCCGTCCTCTTGTACAATTTCCATAGGTATAGAGATATATTTTACATGTTATTCCTTGATAGAAATTACGAAACACACATATTTCCTTGATAGAAAATACAATCTAACATCTAGAAAAAACAACAGTTCTTTTTATATAGGGTCGACGATCTATTTCTCCACGAGAAATATTATACAACACCAAATATCCACAGAACTATGATCCCATTCTAGTTAGCTCCGAGAATAAAGTTCACAACTTATATACCCACCAATTTGGTTTAGTTATGATTTCTGAAAACCGAATTTCAAATCTCCACTCTCATATAATAAAACCGAGCAAAACTAAACCAAGACAAAATTAAAAACCCGACTAAACTCTTATCTCGATCAGAAAAGTAACTCAATCCAACATTCGAACTTAAAAATATCCAACTGATTGAATATTAATCTGGTTAGTTATTGGCTTAACATGATCTACGGTTTGTTTATAAACAGTAAACCAATAAAAATCAATTTGTGGGTTTTTATATTTCGATCTTTATAATTGTAGAGAAATATCGATATAACTTTAATTTGGTGGGAAAATATGTTGTAAACTTTATTCTCAGGGGTAAAATAAATAGAACGGGGTCATAGTTCCATGTACATTTGGTGATATACGATACTTCTCGTGGAGAAATAGGTCATGGACCCTTTTATATATGAACACGAAGCACTGAACTAGTATAGAGCCTATAGACAGATCTCAGGATATGTGCCTTCCGCTCAAAGCCTCACCGATCATCGACACTGCATGAGAGACAGCACCTGCTGTAGAAGTGGAGCAGAGTCTGAATCTATCAACCACACACTCTTTCAGTGGCCTCCTGCCTTGCAAGTTTGGGCGTTGTCCTCGATTCCTAATGCTCTGGGTATCTTCCCTCGCCCATCCCTCTTTGAAAACATTGATTTTTTGTTGTGGCGTGCAAAGGAAAAAGGAGCGAATATAGAGATGATGAATGTGTTTCCCGTGGTTGCTTTGGTTTATTTGGAAATCGAGGAATGAGATGTTGGTTCTTAGCTCAGGTTGTGCCGGAGCTGGAAACAACAATCTGCGTGGCTCATTGTGGAGACATGAGTCCAGAAATAAGGAACCAAACCATCGCAAGATGGAGGTGTCAAGTGGACGCCTCATGGTTAAACGAAACAGATGAATTGAGGCTGGGGTTTGTACTCCTAGACAAAGAAGAAACACAGCTATATGGAGAAAAAGGGACGTTGGAACTGCAACACCACTTCACGCAGAGGCAGAAGGTTTTATTTGGGCAATGCAAGAAGTTTTAAAGGACAAGAATATGCAAGTTCACTTCGAATCAGACTGTGAACAACTTGTTAAACTTATTAAAAAGGATGAAGAATTGCCTGCGCTGGCAGCTGAATTCTACGAGATGAAAGCTTTTGCAACAAGGTTTACTGAATTCTCTGTATCACGTATTGTTTGATCTTTTAACATACGTGTGGATAGCCTTGCAAAAGGAGCTCGATCACGTGTATTATCCCTCCCCTTTGTTAACAGTTTTGCACTGAGATGGCTAGCTCCTAACGCTGGCCAAATGGATGTAAACTAGTTTGATATGTTACCTTTTGCTGTCAAAAAGAAAAATACCAAATGAATTAATTATGCCTATAGGCCCTATACCACAAAAACACATGGACATGAGTGTCTCTATATTATTAATTATAACTATTTGTGCCTCTAGTGTGCGAAAAGAAAGAATTGAAGCCCAGTGAGCCTTTAGAAAATTTATCTTCCCGCTTACAAGTATTGGGCCAAAGTATATATATTGGACTGAAATACATCACGGTTGAGGCAACTTCTTGATAATGACGGTGAGAGAGCACGAATGGAGTGAACCACCCACTCAGCCACTCTTCTACTTTCCAAGCTGATCTGACGTTTGAAGGAAGTTTTGACGAAAGATTGAACGTTGTCCATCGAGTATTCCACACGGCTTCTCCTGTTCTTGTTCCACAGGATCACAAACATTCAAGAGACATTGTTTGATCCAATCATAAAAGGCGCAATCAATGTGATGAACTCGTGTGCAAATTCTCAAAAGGATTGGTCTTACTTACATCTTCTTGCTCATTGACCCAGTGCCATTTGGAGTGACCCTGACCACTGCGAACGCTTCGATATGAGGGACATTTATACCTCCAATAACCTGAAGACTCTTTCAAGTATTTAAGTTGTGAAGCATTAGCAAATGATCTAAGTGGTGGCTTTCTAACACAATGAAGACTTGGGCCAAAATTACATCTCTTCTAGCCCAAACTCAAATACATTTTTTAGCATGAGGCTATATTAATAGTCTCACAAACTCACAAAACACTTGTATTCATTTTGAATGTGTATGAGAAATGAATATTTTAATATATGATCCAGAGTTAAAGAAAGCTTATCACAAGATACTTCCACTTCACCACCTCCCCTCACCTCACGGTCTTAGCCCATGCATGTGCGCTTCAAGCTCTCCTTTCTTATAGTAAAGATCACGTGAGTGAGACATTCAACACACGTACAGGGAAAACAAAGATTACATACAATCGCATGTGCAACCACAAAGTAGCGGAAGAGAGTGGGAGAGGAGAGCTACTAAAATACTACCAAGTTTTAGTAAAGGTATAAAAATCATCGTTTGACTTTTCCTCATTCCCAATCACCTTGAACTTTTTAAATATAAAATTATATTCCAAAATGCTATACAGCTGTTATGAATATTTGTAGTTTTAATTGAATAACCTGACAAAACCAACCCCTGACTTGTTGCCACCTCCGTGCATTTCCCCCTCTTTAATTCCCACTCTCCTCTTCACTATTTCAACAACATATAATAACTAGTATAATTCATAACCAAAAAAAAAACATAATAAAATTAAATTAGTGAAATGCTGTCTTGTGTTTGTGATGGCCTTGGCCTATCAGCAGACAAATGGTTAAGAAAGAGGCCAATGAATTGTCACTTTCTATTAGATTCGTAGAATCACAAACACGTCAGAATCAAACGTTCCATCCACTGGTAAGGCGATAAGAACAATGAACTAACAAATTAAAGAAGCCAACAATAACACTTGTTAAAGACCTTAAACACAGAAGTTAGAAGTGTAATTAAAGATAAGCAAAACTGTTTTTGATTGATATTTAACTATAAAACACAAAACTAAATAAAATAAACTCAATAATACAAAACCCGGCAACTTATGTCTTAAGATCTTACTTCTCTCCGGAACACACTTTGTGTATGTCTTAAATACTAAAAAACATTAAAAATATAACTCTTTTCTCACATAAAAAACATAACTCAAGCGGCAAAACTTTTCATGTGACAGGCGATGTGTTGAGGAGCGTTCTGTTCGCCAAGGAAACTAGAACCAGCTAGGTCGAGCCCAAGATCCGCAAAGTCGAAATCCGGCAACGCATTAGGACCATTGTCACCAAACCCGTTAATGTCATCAAGCAAACCAAAGTCATCAAGCTGATCATTAGTGAAGAAACAATCAAAGTCTAGATCATCCTCGTTAACACCACCAGCAGCCATTGGTCCTTCAAAGAAACCAAGATCAGGGATTGGTAGATCCGCAAAGTTGAAATCAAACAACATTTCCTTGCTCAAATCAACATCATTAGGATTACTGATCTTGATCTCTTCTTCGTTAGGTTTGACACAAGTGAGAGCTGAAGCAGAAGTGTCTTGCTCAAGAGGTGAAGAGCGAGAGCATTGACTAGTCTCAGAAACAGAGACAGAAGACTCATTAGTGATGCCGACAAGTGCATCATACTCTTTCCTCTTGTCTTGATAAGCTTGATAAGCTGCTTCTTCAGTGTCAAAAGTACCTAACCAAGTTCTAGTTTTAGTGATTGGATGTCTAATCTCAGCAGCCCATTTCCCCCACTTCCTTTGCCTAACACCAACACGCTTCTTAGGAGCTGATGATGCTACCTTTTTGCTGGTGGTTTTGGTACTGTCTTGTGAGGAAGACACAGAAGGCTCAACACCACGAGGTTCAAGAGGGGGAAAGTTAACTTCACGGACGATGCGTTTCACTTGACGAGGCTTCTTAACAAACTCCTCCTCGTCGCTAGAGGAATCATCAGTAGCGTAAGGATCGTTGACAATGATACGAACTTTTCTCAAAGGTTGTTGGTGGGTATCTTGAGGATGGGATGATGATAATGATAATAAAGAGTTGCTTCTCTTTGGTTTCTTCATGTCATCAACCAAAGACTGTTGTTTTCTTATCTCTACCATTGCTGACGCCACAAAAATAAACCCCAAATCCTCAAAAATACCCAGAAAAATATATAAACACTCAAAACTTTAAAGATCAAAACTTTTTTGGTAAAAATAAAATAAAAATCTCAGCGGACTATGAAAAAAGAAAACTTTTGCTGTTTTATGTGAAAACCACCAAACACTTCAACGCCAGAACAAGTCCTGAGATAAAATAGAGACATGGGTTTAGTCTCTCTTACAGATCTGTTAAAAGGGTCGAAGAAATGAGATAAAAGTCGATAACATAGAGATACCTTTTGGGTCTTAAGCGCATGGAAAGAGACGGAGTCTCGAGAACAAGCCTCCTCTGCTTAGAGCAGAAGTAAAGAGCGTTTGAGGAAGTAGCGAGACCAAGTTTTGAACAAGATGATGATGAGATTGGAGAAGAGATGTTGTTAATCAGAGACAAAATCACAGCTTCTGAAACAAACTCAGCCGACATAAATCCGCGTTCACAAACGCTAACAGTTCCTGTTCTTCAAAAAGACACAACAAACAACGGCAAAAGTGAGAAACTAGAACACAGCTTAAACCCTTGAGCAGAGAGAAACAGAGACTTCTTTGATTTTATATGTAATTAAAACGAAGGATCCGTGACAAAGCTTTCACAGATTAAAAAAAAAACAGTAAACAAGTGATAAAAAGACTCGATTTTTACAAGACTACGCAAATCTCTAGAAGAGAAAACATAAATATCAAACAAACTATAAACAAAGATGAAGAAGAAGGAAGAACGATTCTTTTAATTAAAGAAACGCAGAAGATGAATTAATAAAATATTTGATTAACCTTTTGTTTGTTGAAATGTGTTTTTCTTCGGATTCTCTCTCTCTCTCTTCTATCTTCTGCTCTCTTTTTTTTTTTTTTATCTTTGGAGAAACCTGCATGCTCTTTATATTCTCATTTTTATACTAGTAGACATTTCACTTTTTTCAATGACGGTCAAATAAAACCATTCAATGAAAAGACCGACACTTATGGGAAGTTAACTATCAATTTCAAAGTAAATATTCAGTTTTCTTTTCTTAGTAGATTTGTAACCATCAATAAAAGAAAGTAAAAGTTCAACAAATATTCAGATTTCTTTTTGAGTAGATTTGTAACCATCAATAAATATTTATTTGCCAACTCGGAGATTTAATACATCTTCAGTTTTTTTTTTTTTACAGAACCGGAAATAACAGTATTTGACTCTTTGACTTGTGTTTTTAGTGGCGTTACATTGTTGTTTTAATATTAAATTTTATTTAAAACCGTCTTTTAGAAAAAGAAAAAAGAGAAAGTGATTTAGCAAATAGCTGGCATGGTAGGAGTAGGGACAATTTTAACATTAATGGCGCATGACTCTCTCTTCCTCATGCTTCTATCATGGCCCGCCAAGAATCCTAGCGCGTGTCTCTCACTTTCTATTCCCCCACAAAGAAGATTTCACGTCATTTTATAGTGTTTTTCTCTTTTTTTGGTCGGCTTAAGTTTAGATTTATTTTCTCGAAAACGAGAGTTAAGTTCAGAATTTTATATTTGCTATACTTTTTAATTAATAACTAGATCATAACCCGTCCGACTGGGCGGGTCTTTGTTTTTATGGTATAGATAACATTTTAAAGTTACAATTTAATGGTTCCAATTTTACTAAGTAATAGTATATTGTTTAAACATTGTATTTCATTATTGTATTGTGTAACAGGGTGTCGTAAAATGTTGTGACCCGTAAACATTTTAGTAATAGTTTATAAAGTTTTTTGACTAAATTTGGTGTAAAGTTATATACACTAAATAGTTTAGTCAAATTTTTAATTTAATTTTTTAATAAAGAATTGGAAGGCTAGTATATCACTGTTAAAAACTTATAAGAATAGTCAATATAAATTATATAAATAAAATATATATTATTCTTGATTTATTCTAAATACATTTAAAACATGAATACATATATATATAAATAATTTGTAGAAATAAAGTAATATCAATGGTAGAAAATCCAAAAACAATAATAATGGTACCTTGGACCGCAGTAATCTTTAGTATAATAAATAAGCCCATTAAAATTTGTATGCTATCCATGTTTCCAATCAAACTTTTAAAATTTTCTTATTCATGTTTCCAAACACTTTATTTTTGTACTTCATCTTTAATAGTATAGACTAGGTGTTTTGCCCGCACTTAGGGGCATAATTCTCTTATAAATATTTATTAGTTGATGTTTCATTAATTTAAAAATCAGCATAGTATTATTATTTCTGTTTTCAAAAAGTAAAAATTAAACATCAAATAATTATCAATGACAAAACTCAAACATCAGAAATATTTAAAATAATATATTTCTATAACTATTTTTCTTGTTTTATATTTAATTATAATATCTATATCTTAATTTTAAATTTTATATTAGAAAAACATATTTTCAGGATAACAATATAATACATAAATTCTTTATTTTTTGAAAATATAATATGATATTTTTTTAACTATATAATAATTATATAAGATTATAAAAATTATGACATATAATTAAAATTACCTAAAATCATTGAGAACTTAATGAATCCGCAAATTCACTTCTTAAATAATTTTTCTTGAGTGATAATTTATATTTAATTAATAATAGATAAGTTTTTCTATTTTACTTTTAAATTATATAATATAAAAATATATTTTCAAGATAACAACGTAATACATAAGAATTACCATATTCTCCAAAAGTATAATATTATTAGTGTAAATTTATTTCAATTATAGAACAGTTACAACTTTTTATATCTTAACTCTAAATTTATAATAGAAAAATATATTTTAAGACATCAAACTAATAAATAAGAAGTATTTTATATTCTAAGAATCTGATACTAATATAAATTTGTTTTAAATATATAATAAATTATATAAATTGATAAATTATCAAAATTACCTAGAATCATGGAAAATATGACAAATCAGCAAACATCAAATTCACTTCTTAAATAGTATTTATAGATTTTTTACATGTTAATTTTAAATTTTATAATAGAAAAATATTTTTTTCAAGATAACAGCATAATACATTAGAATTAACTTATTTTCTAAAATATCATATTATTAATATAAATTAGTTGTAATTATATAATAAATAATAAAAAAAATTATAGAAATTCTGAGAAATGATCAAAATTACCTAGGATCAATGAGACAAATCAACAAATTCACTTTTCAAATAATTGTTTTGATGATTTATATTTAATTATGATTTATATTTAATTATTAATAATATACTTTTATCTTAATTTTAAGTTTTATATTAGGAAAATATATTTTCAACATAACAACATAATCCATAATGATTATCTTATTTTATAAAAATATTAAACTATTATTATAATTTCTTTTTAATTATATTTAAATATTAAATTATTAATATAGATTCATTTTAGATAAATATAATAGTGTTTATATCTTAATTTAAAATTTAAGTTTTATATATAAAAATATATTTCAAGATAACAACATAATTCACAAGAATTATCTTATTTACTATAAATATAATATATTCATATAAATTCGTTTTATTTATAAATAAAATATATATAAATATTAAAAATATGATAAATAAACAAAATTACCTAAACTTATGGAGAACATGACAACAAAGCAAATTTACTTCTTAAATAATAGTATAGATATTGGATAAATATCTAAGCTTCTTAGACCATGTGCATTAGTGAACCTCAAGGGAGGTTCACACATTCTCCCAAAAAAAAATTATAAAAATTATGGGGCCTATTTTCTAGTGAACCCAAGCTCTCTCCCGTGAACCTCTTAGAGGTGGAATTCATCACTGTTTTGCGGACCGCATGCTATGTGGCGGCCCGCTATTGGTCAGTGTCTTTTTTTTTTTTAAAGTAAAATGAAACGAAAAAAATAATAATAATATAAAAACTAAATTGTGAAGCCCAACAGGGGGTTCATCAATGTACATGCTCTTAGTACAAACTTCCACTTTTTTTGGTAAAACAATCTCAGCAATATATATTTAGAAAATCTTGCTAAATTCAATTTTCAATTAAAATTTTAATCAGTTAAAATATAAGAAAAAATAAATTATATTTGGTTTTATGCTGTGGTAGAACAATCAAATAAAGATAAGCAAGATGTTGTTGTGTAATTTAAAGAGCAAAGCTGATGCATACTAATCAATTTTCGAGTTTTGATTCGGTTTAGTTCAAATTTTACTTGTTTTATAGTAAATTATTTAGCATACATTAATTTTCTTTTGCATCCAACTCAGATATTTTCATAAAAAAATTACTTTGGTTATTTTAGTTTGGTTTGATATATATATATATATATATATATATATTAAAACTGGTTATATATTATTACCAACATTCAAAACATTTAAAGTAATAGAATTATTTAAAATGAGTAACTAAGGAAATAAACCAAAAGATCCGAAAAAAGAAAGTTAAGTTAGCAAAATAAATAAATTTCTAACAATATTAATAGTTAAGATATTTATAATTTTGAGTGTCTGATTTAAACAGTACTTTTTATATTAACAAGTTATGTATTTGTATTGATGTTAAAACATCACTAAAAATACTTTTTATTTTAGAGTTTATAAGATTCTATATTCAAAGTTTAAAGGTGTTATGTTTTAAAAGCAAAATTTCAAATGTAACTGCAAAACTATTTTTATTTTATATTACAATCCTTATATTTAACATAATTAATTCAAGTTAACAAAATAAATAAATTTCTAAGAATATTAATAGTTAAGATATTTATAATTTCGAGTGTCTGATTTAAACAATACTTTTTATATTAACAAGTTATGTATTTGTATCGATCTTAAAGCATCTCCAAAAATCTTTATATATAAAGAAGAGGTATACTCTCTTCTCCTTTACACACATCATCAAGTGATGTCACAAAATAGACACACCTTAAGCTGACATCTGTCCACACGCGAATAAACCAACGGTTTGATACATTTTTCTTGGGCCTCAGCTTTATATTTTATCAATCCAGAAGCCCATTAATTTTTTTTTTTGAAACGATGTCTGAAACACCGAGAAGGGTTCGTCGACGCCTCCTGCTCCAGACGTCAAGCTTTTCAGATTCCCCAACTGTTTATACACGATCTCTTAGTATGCTTAGATGATATTAACTCTATCATTAATCGCTCATCTACAATGAATGCTAAAGATTAATGGTTTCATGCGGTGATCTTGCGTATAAAAGGGTGAGTTTTTTTGTTCCCATTCTTCATCCAAATTCTCTAAATTCCGCAAACAATGACATTTTTGATCGACTGATTGCTGAGTTCATATTTAATTATTTGTATAATTTAGTTTTGTGGTTTGTCATTAGTCGTTATTATATTTAATCTGTTTATTTTATTTTCGTGTTCAAGTGCAAAGTTGCTTTCAATTAAGCCAGATCCGAGTGGGAGGGGGAACCCAGCAACCACCGGAGAAGTCACCATTGAGCCGTCAAGTAGATAAAAAATGCTACACATGAGCTGCTGTTTCGTCATCTTACAAGTTCGTTATCACGTATCTCACTGAAAGATTTGATTTTTACAACATGGGGACTGATAAAGTTTTCATCTTTTTCTGACAAAAACAAAGTGAGAGGTTGAGATATACATTGCAAGAACAGAGGAAGCAAGAAACAAAGGCGATCTTGAGAAAAATTGAAACAAAAGCTTTTTGGTTTTGATGGCACAAAAGGAATAAAATATTCCAAGAGCGTTAAGCAAGAACATGGAGAAAACAGCTGGAGGATTATTACTAACCAGACTACCAATGAGAAGCCTTCTATTAGCAGGGTAAGTCCAAAAGCTTGATGATGTGTTTCTTAGCTTATACACAAGTGCCAAGTATTAACATTCTCCTCTTTGATTTTTGGCAGGTTATAGCGATTGGATCAAGTTTTTCTAGTTGAGAACGGTAAACTTCAGCCACTACCAATTTTGACTGGAAGCACAATTCTTTATTCCAAGTATGCAGACAACGACTAGGAGAGCAAAGATGGTCCCAACTACATCGCTTGAGAGCTTCCTTGCAATCTGTTTTGTTTTGATTTTGCTGTATCGATTTTTTGGTTCGAGTTGGTTTCCTGCTTGGGATTTTGCATAAACAATAATAACTTTGCTGATAGTGATGCGAGTCTGATTTAAGTTGAGTCTATTGTTAGCATATTCTTAGATTGGTGATGGTTTGTTTGTGTGGGTTGATTTTGATTGATCTTATTATAGATTATTGGATTGGTTTTCTTGCTTCAGGTTTTATCAGGCTTACTATTGATCTCAGTCCATCCAATGCTAATATCTCAGTCCATCCAATTTTCCAAGCTAAGTTTAGCATCAAGGTCAACAAGTTTCTTTCTTTCTTTTTTTTTTGAATGAAACACAAGTTTCTTTCTTTCTTTCTTTGTTGTATGTATATTCTCAGCCACCAACCCATTTGAGGTTCCATCATAAGCCAGATCTCCAGGTTTCCTCCTTTCTCTCTCACAGTTAACACTCATTTTTAGGATTTCTAAATCTTTGATGGTTTCAGACTCGCCATGGAAACACACGGTGCGGCTACGAGGAAGAACAAAGAAAGGCAGGAGAAGCTGCCTGTTGTTGTCTTGAAAGCTGAGGACATCATGTACTCTAAATCCAATTCCGAGGTCTTTCTTCTTCTTACCAAGTGCTTTATGTGTTTTCGTATCTGAATTTTGCTGACTTTGGGGTTTGATATTAGGAAGAGTATACAAGATGCTGATACTATGTGGAATAGAGTCAGTGATGCCATTGACACCATTATTAGAAGAGATGAAAGCACTGAAATATGGCCCTCTTTTGCCTCCTTGTGTTGAAGGTATCTTCGATACCTCTCTTTTTTAACTAACTCTTCAGAAAGTTACTGTTCAAAATGAGGTTTTGGGGATTTACGATACCCAATCCAAGAAAAATACTTGTGGTTTGTACTGCTTATTTTATTGCGGTTACACTGTGCTCAGCTGCTCTTAACCTTGGATGCATTGCTGTAAGAGCTTCAACAAGTCAGCGACATAGTAACGTAAGGACTTACCTCTGTCCTAAAATCCAGAAACCTGTTTCTGCACCCCCTCATGAGTCTCAGTATCACCATCATCAAGCTCAAATGTCCAATAAACCAAGCTATGTCGCTCAACCTGTAGTCCCAGTGGCTGTTCTTGATGACGGTAACAAGGGCTTAGCTTCTGCTGCTCCTCGCGTTACCTGTTTCTACAGGTGCATCAGAAGCCATTGGCTAGAAAACTAGAGACTTGCACTGCTCCAGCACCAGTGCCAATCAACTTGGGTTCGGTGTATCCTTTGTATTACGGAAGTGATAATCAGACCCAGCAAGTGAACATGTCCTTAAGAGTCCCTGAGACGCCTATAATCACTGGCATGCCTATTAGTATAAAAGCTCCGGAAGAAAGAACAGAGAGCTTCTGTGATTTGTCCTTGAGGCTTGGTTTATCATCTTCAGATCCACCCTCCACAAGAATAGATGTTGGGTTTAGCCGTGCTTACCAAGGAAGAAACCAAGAAGAGTTATGTTTCTTCTCTTAGGTGAAGAAGAAAGATGATTCGTTTTCGAACTATGAAGGTCAACGTTCATATTCGAGAGGTAGAAAGTACAAAACATTTTGTGAAGACTTCCTCTAGGGATTTTTCTCAAATCGTGTAAAAGTGTCTCCAATTTATTGGTTGATATTATTGACTCTGTAGATCGATCTACGCTGCATTGAAACCAAAAAGAAACCAGAGGTTGCTCAGTTAACATCAATAGGCAATACAGATGAGAAAGTATCTTCACCAGTTTCGCTTTTGTTAGTGTAAATCTATTTAAATACATTGATGGTTCTTGGTGAAATGTTTCTGTCGACTAGCAGTAAAGTTTTATAGTGTTTTACAGCAATTAGCATGAAATTTAACTAAGATATCCAGACAATCATTTCACTACAACCACGGCCAACCAGATTTTGGGAAGAAGATATAAAATATTCAGTCATATATTTATTTGAATACTAATAATTAGAACTATGTTTTCATTATGTTTTAAAAACAAATAGTTTCCTATTACTGCGAATTATATATTCATTTTTACATTGTTGAAATTAGTAATTTTAAAATAAAATGTGTAAAAAGAAATAAAACTACAAATACATTCAAAAATTTAAAATATTCACTGTTTTGATTGTTAAACCTAACAACAACAATAAAAATTCCATTCTATTTACTATATATATAAAAAGTTGTGCAAACATTTAAGAAAATGTATAACATTTACAATCATTTAAAATCATTTCATACTAATACAAAATTATATATATTTTTTGTATATTCTTCTAATTAACCGATGAACGTCAATAAGTATAGACCATGTCAGAGGTATACAATTATTCACAAACAAATAAACAATGACAACCAAACAACAAACAACCTGAATGTTATTTCAAACCAGTGTGATTCATACTGCTACTACAAACAAATAATAATTTATTTTTATTATATGATCAATAGATTGAACCCGTAGTTGGTGTATACTTTCTCTAATTTCGGGATAAAATTACAAACACTATTTTAATTTCTCAAAAAAATACAAATTTAAAATTGTCAGTTAAATGTTAATAGTTATAAACAAAATAGGCACACAAAATCTAACAAACAACGATATAAAATAAACAAAACACTACATAACTATATTATAATCCTAAACATAAACAAATAAACAACACAACCATATAAAAAAATCATAGACCAAAATAACACATCCCGCGCGAAGCGCGGGTTTCCCCTAGTACTCTATATTTTAAAGTTTACAAGACTCTATATCTGAAGCTTAAAAGTGTTATGTTCCAAAAGTAAAACTTTAAATGTGATTTCAAAACTATTTATATTTTATATGACAATCCTTGTATTAAACATAATTAATTCTAATTCATGCTTTTTTATAAATAACTATCACTTTTTTTAACACAAATAACTATCACATATATAAAAATATTAGAACAATATTAATTGATAAATTGTTACACTAAACTATAAAGTTACAAGTAGAAACATATAATTAAATATTAAGCTACAAACAAAATATCACATTAAGTCTTGTAATATTGTTGTTGTATAGTTCTTGTTTTAATATATTTTAAATCTTATCTTGATATTTAAAAAAGTATGTAAATTTTAAATTTATAAAAATAAAGTTGAAAGGTTTCTGAGATATTTTTTTAATGATTAAAATGATAAACAACAAAATATTTAATAATTATAAATATGATGTGTAATTGTAAAGACTAAAATGTAACTCCTCTATATTTGAAGTTTCACTACTAAAAACTTCAAATCTGAAATTTTAGAGTTCATTTTTAGAGTGTCAAAATCTTCATATTTGAAGTTATAAAATATCTTTTTAGAGATGTTCTTATACTTGATACAATTAATATTTCAAGTATAATCTACATTTGGGGCACACAAAGTACTTCAGTTTTTGTTTCGTATTGCTATTGTTTGGATATCTGAAATATTTCAAATAAAGATCCATTCATATTTATATAACATACAATTTGATTTTTAATTGATAAATCTTGATGTAATAGTTGTCAAAACAAATGATTTAGTAGGGTTAGTTTTCTTTGGTTTTTGAAGAATTTTTCCATATTCTGTTGGCCTTGCTCGGGCGTTTGGTATTCCTTGTATAATAAAATAAGAAGAGCGACTAAAAAATGTGTTCTTTTATACAAAAGATGCAATGAGAAATCGGTTAATATAAATTTTTAACAAGGCTCACGTATAAAATTGTATCTGTAAAAGTTATTACTTTATTAGAGCATAAAAAATAAAAAATAATAACTCCAACATTGCATAAAATTGTGTCTGTAAAAGTTACTAGTTTTTTTTTATGCTCTAATAAACTAGTAACTTTTACAGACACAATTTTATACGTGAGCCTTGTTAAAAATTTATAGTTAATGCATATTTTCTCACTATTTATATGAGTCTTGACTTTCGCTCGCTATTTAGAATGTTCAAAATTGTTTTATCCTCAAATAAAGTAGTGAAGAGGTCGTGGAATTAATATCAGATCGAAAAACAATTAAGCAACAACCTGTCGATTTAAGGAACATATAATTATTGGAGGTGGAACAAAACTGCTGATTTTAAATAGAATTTTGTTAAAGATTGAGAGAATAATGTTTAAAACACGTGTACACGAAAAGATCCTTCTACGTTTTGCTTCAGTTTTACTAAAAGCTAGTTTCAGTCTCTATCATATCATAACATTACCGTAATAATTTAATGTAAAAGTAACAGTGAAATCAAATTTCACAAGTAGAAAGAGGTGGTCTATGTATCATGATAGTATATGGTGTAAAAGACAATATCTGATGAGCAAATTGAGAAATGATATATCGCATCACTATGTTACAGTGGCGATAACAACAGTCAGGAATGTGTCTTTGTGGATTATCCGGTTTAGAATACCAAATTAAATAGCTAACTTCAGTAAATTTGTGAGATTTTCATTTTCTTTCTTTCTTCGTCATATCAAAACTCACAAAATCGTATATATATATATATAATCTGGTAAAACGAATATCTAAAGGTGCTGCACAATTTAGTGGTGCACAATCCAGTGTTGCTATTAATTTTTGAAACACAATCCACTGTTGGTATTAATATAGTAAGAAATAATAAGGGAAAGAGAAATTGTTGTCTGGCACGAAGATATGGGTTCATAGCAGCAGCACGTCGTCACATTTAGGTGAATGTATCATCGGCTCTTCACTTTCTCAGAGGCTAAAAGGGGCCTTCTAAATCAAATGGTCCATCACTTTATCACGTGATCTCTATAAATCAATGTCAGGGCCGGGCCTGTGGAGAGGAAAGTGAAACATTTGAATGGGTCCCCACCTCTAAAGGACCCCCATTTAAAAAACAAATCATTTATGTTATTCAATATTTTTTGTAAATTAACACTTAATTATTTTTTGTAAATTAAATTATGTTAACATAAGAAAATGATTAAGTTATATAAATAGTTTTCTTTGTAATTTCAGTTCCATGAATATTTTTTTTAAAACTAAACCTTGTTTCTTAGATTTCTTCTCTTTATTACCATATTTTTTTCGTAAATTAATACTTTTTTAACTAAATCAATACTATAATTAAAAAAACTCTTTGTAAACTTTTTTTTGAAAAAATATTAATATATTTGTAAAAAGAAATAGATTGGGACCCCCAATTCCCCAGGACCGGCTCTGATCAATGTGTCCCCATTTTATTTACTCTGAAATCCAGACGATATTTATTTTATAACATGTGATCTTACTAACTAAAATTATTATTAAACTAACATGGTACCATAATGTTCTTTGGATTCGTGATAAGGTGTTCCAGATTAGATGTATTATCTCAGTGACAGTGCATGCATTCGTATATGATCGAGCTCTGTTTGGAGTAAAAGTATTATACGATCGAGCTCAATAGAGCAATTAGAAAATTTGACCGAGAAGTTAATACTAAAGATTCTATTGGTTCTTGGAAATATAAGGGCACCTCCAATGAAGCTCCTTAAGACAAATCCTTGAAAAAATACAATATAATAATCTAAATAGTTAAGGATTTTTAGATAAAAGAATTTTTAAAATCCTTAATTAAGGATTGAAATATAATGAGTCCCGTCATTGTTCACGGACCCCACTGACACGTAATGGTTTGTGATTGGTTGAATTTTTTTTTTATCTGAAAAATAATTAAAAAAATCAAAAAATCATTTTTCTAAGGATCCCACTTGAGTAATACCATTGCCCTTAGAGCACCCCCATCAAAAGTTCAGATGGGGTTCACACGCTTTTCAAAAAAAAAATATTAAAATAGTGAATAATAATGAACCTGCCCCTTAAGAGTTCACTGCAGTGAACCCGGTTCACTACTGTAGCACGGGCCCCGGAACACGTGGCGGCCAGCGATTCGTCTATTTTTTTTTTTTGTAAAAATCAAAAAGAAAATATAAAAATTTTAATATTAAAAAATTGAATCAATGAACCCCAAGAAGGGGTTCATTGATGTGGATGCTCTTACTCTAAGCAGAATGTCTTGAGATAAAACAAATATTTTGTGGGAAAACTTTTATTGAAACTTAAGAGCATCTCCAACCCCACTCCAAAACTCACTATAAACCCTATTTTGCACTAAAATCATCATCTCCAACTCTATTTCAAAATCCACTCCAAAATGAAGTAACAAACATAATTATTCCAAATATGGAGTAAACCAACTTAGGGCATCTCCAACCCAATTCCATTTTTTACTCTAAAATGAAGTAAAAAGGGATATGGAGTAGAAAACACTCAAACCCTACTCCATTTTCCACTCCATAATAGAGTTTACTTTATAAATGAAGTAATCTATTTTTTATTTGTTCATCACTTTATTATGGAGTGGAAAATGAAGTGGGGTTGGAGCATTTTTACTCCATATTCTCTTTTACTCCATTTTGGAAGAAAAAATGAAGTTTTACATTGGAGATGCTCTTATTACTTCAAAATAGAATTGAACTTTTTTAT